TGGCAGAAACACATTCCATAGGTTTTAACAGTTATGGCATTTTTCCCTTTTCAGTATTCATGCTACTAAAACTGTTATCAATTATTCTTTTGGTTGTAAAAGCTGAAATCAACCCATTCACCAACTTCCTTAAAGCGTCTCATTACAAGCATCTATATTACGGTTATATTGCCACCCTGTGAATATGCTTGGATGTAACTATTCTATTGTAGTTTTATATTAAAGCATCTCTGCCGTTTCCCCACATTTCATGTGAGTTAATATGCAGATGTGCTATATCAGTGTTTCTTCAAATCAAATCTGCACAGCATGCTGCTACCATTCTCGTCAGAGATATGCACAGTTTTAGTCTTCCCCCAAAACACATTTTGCATAACAGCTAAATGGAAAATATCTTGTCTCGGTTGAACAATCCACCTGTTTAAATGTTTTCTGTGTCGTGGCTTGTTGCATTTGGATTGCTTCTAGTTTTTTTTCTTGCCACTGAGTTCTATGGCAGCAAGACTAATGGAAATCCTGTCAACAGATTCTCCTACCTGTGGATGTTTGCTCTTTGATAAACATCCAATTCTTTCTGAGCTCAGAATAGCAGGGAAGTTGCAGAGTATAAATATAGAGAAAATGATTTTAATTAATTCTTAACTTGATGACTTTAGAAAAGATTGATTTTATTCAGGGTGATCAGAGGAGGTGGAATAGCAATTAACACAATTTCCTAATTTTTATTGGTAAAAGTGTGAAATAAAGTTTGCCTTATTAATACATCTCTGATTAAAATAAAAAATAAAAAGAATATTTGTACTAACACATAACATGAAAAACTAATATGGATATATGTTGTCACCTTTACTAACCAAAGGAATTGCCGGTGAAGCAAGGTAAATAGTACAGTGTTAGGTCTTCATAGTCACCACTGGAGATGGAGGAATCAAGGAAAATCAAATGACAGACATCACCTAAATAACCTCAATTTGTCTGAAGAGGCTCGCATTACAGAGTGGTGGTGTGAAGTGCAGAAGACCAAGGTATTTGCCAGGCAGCAAGGGGTTTCACAAAATGCTATAATTGAGTAGCATTATGGGAAATGTCAGGTCAAGCTTGGAAAGGCATTATTTGTGCCCCCATGTAGGAAATGGAGAGGGCCTTTACCGTTAGTCTGAACAGGCTGCAGGGAGATTGCTTTGAGGTAAGGAAGCTTTTGCTGTTTATAGTCATTATCAATGATTTGGGCAGTGATACAAATATACATTTTTGGGACTATTTTATTTTTTATTTAGATGACAATCTGAACAGAAAGCAATTCTAGAAGGGTTTCTTAGTACATGTATTGCATGAAAGTAAAACGGCCTATGTATAATTAACTTTATTTGTGATCAAATCGAATGTTTCCTGTTAACAATGGGTTAATTATTATGCTATTATTATTATGCTATGATTATGCACGTAAATCAATAAAACAGGAAATTATTGTTGTTTTGTTCTGTGTATGTCCTATATCACAAAGCATTATATTTAGCCTTCTAGATATGAATTTAAAATGCTAATTACTGGCTAAACCCTCACGACAGTTGATGTATACATTTTTGCATGAAAATAATTCCTTGACTAAAAATTACTTTTCCATCACAGCACCGAGTTCTGGTAAGGATTGTGTTTAAAAAAAAAAAAAAAGAAAAACTTTGTGTGAAATTCCTCTGCAAAATGTTTGTGTCATCATCTCGGCTATTTCTGTCTCTATTTAACCTGCCTGTTTCTATTCATCTGTACCAGATTATTCTCAAGCCAGTGGTGAGAATGTCCCAGCATTACCTTAGTGTTTCTGATTACCTGATCCTGACCTGTTCTGCTTCTCAACCGCTTAGCCTGCCTGTTCCTGTTTGATCTGTTTGCCTGACCTGCCTTCTGCCTGTTTGCTGAACTTGGACTTGCTTACTGACATATACCTGGATTTCCCTTTGGAACCTCTTCTGATTTCCTGGTTCTGAATCCTGAGCATGTCCATGGCACCGGCTTTGGTTTCGCCCTCCGGATCATCCTGCCTTCTTTTATCTGCTCGGATCTGATCTGCTGCTTGTTTTCCATCCTCTGGGGCTGCAGCGACTGGAACTCTCTGGACGGCGCCCTCTGCATCTTGTTGACAGCTGCCCGGCTGGAACCAAACTTGTTCTTTTGGCATGGACTAAACTATAATACCAGGTTAGTGACTCAACACATTCATAATCATCATCCGTCAAATTAATGTGGTCACTAGCCTGTGTTTTCCTTCTGCAGACGTTCCTGCCTTAGACGTCCTTACTGTTATTGCAGAGCCGCCATTTTTAAATAAACGCTTTTTGAATTATCTGACTGTCTGTTTGCCTTTAATACTGGCTCCCGTGTTCTGAGCCCTCACAGTTTGAGCTTTTGCATGCAGATACTTATAATATTAAACAAACAGAAGAAGTAAATGGTTTAATTTGGGAAACACCCTAACCATCTTTCAGTTAACTGTATCTTTATACTCTCTCTTTATCTAACTTGACAAACATCAGCCGCTTAAAGTTTCTGATATTATTCAGGAATCGATACTTTAGAAGAAAATGCTAGTGATTTTTAATAAGTGAAAAAATTATTAAGTCTTAAGCTGACATGCAACTCTCCCTGTTTTTTTTTAAAGAAATGCCAGCAAACACTCAATACTTTCAGGAACACTAATATGTGAAATGTTTTTCATAATTTAGCACAAAGCAAAACGGTGATTCTACAAAATTAGAAAAACCTGTTTAAGAAAGTGACAGCAGCTGCGTGGGGTGGAAGAGGGAGAACGAAAGACAGGCTTTTGAGATTTAGAAATGCCTCAAACAGAGCAGCATATTGTGATAAACAGTTGCTACTTAAATTAATTAACTGCTTTAACTATTTGGTATCTAGTGGGGTGTTGGTTCTAAACCGAATTCAGGAGGGGGTCTAGGGTTGGGACAGCATTTTTGTAGTTTTTTTATTTTTATGCAGGCACAGAAAAAAAAAGGGCATAGAATGAAAAACTGGTCCATAGTTTACCATTTGATATATTAAGTGAGCCGTTACTCAAAACAGACACTTATGGCTCTGAACTGAAAGAAGTAAACGAAAAATTTACCATGACATATAAAGTTTTAATTTGTTTTAACTGATTTTTTTTTTTTTTATTAAAAATGTAAATATCTACTTAAAGTCAAAGCATTGCATGGTTACATGATCTCACATACATTTGTTGGTAAATGTTTCTTCTTGAGCTGACCACTTGATAATGAGTGTTTAAAGTAGGGTGACCGATTCAAACACTACCATTCATCCTGTCTGCTGAACTGCTGCTAGTTTTTCTCACATTCCTGGAAGATGTCTAGTGCTTCTTAAAATCATAGCCATAGAAATCAGTGGTCAGACTGCAACACACGTTTCAGCGCTGCACATTGCCAGGAAAAAAAAGTGCTGGGTGTGTCTCGGACCATGGATCCCAAAGGAAAAAAAAGGAAGATACCTGATGAGAACAGAGGATTCAAAGAAGAATGGACCGAATTATTTACTGTCTTTATCAATGCAGAAGGATTGCCTGCATTTTTGCTTTGTGATGAGAGGGTGTCAAAGAATAAAGGCAGTAATTGATCCACAGATCAAACAGGTAGCCCTCTTATGCAGAGATGGGAAGTTTCTTCCATTATTTCCCACAAATCCTCAAAATAAAAGTAACACCAAGGAACGCTGATGTGGGAGGATGTGGGATTTCAGGGTTAGAGAGCACAGCTCTGATGGATGTCAGTTCCTGCTTGGTCCGTCATGACTCAATCAACTCCTCCTAACAGAAAAATATCCACCATAGAAAGATTCCTTTATTGTGTTTCTTTAATTTCATCAATGCAACAAAACCTTAACCATTCGGTGAAGCAGCGTGTGGTGAACTCCACACGGTGAGAGCGTTCACTGCCCCTCCCTCACCTCATGACTCTGTGACATGTGCTCCAGGATAAACATTAAATCATGAATGCTTATTATATATTTAAGCCCATGTAGTCCTTTTTTATAGTTGGCTAATACACTTACAGCCCCTGTTGCCATACGAGGCTTTTACATTTTTGTGGCTCCAGACAGATTAGTATTTTTTAGTCCAATATGGCTCTTTGAGCAGTTTGGGTTACCGACCCCTGGTCTATGACTATTGACAGAAGTGGCCAAAATCCTTTTATTGTTTGCTTTTTGTTCTTCATCTCAAGACTAATTTGAAATGGTTTCCCCAGCCTTCGCCAATGTGGAATCTACTATCCTGCATATCTTAGATATGATTTTATTGTGCAGGTCTTCTTCAAATGATTACATTAACCTCAATCATCTAACTCATCTTTTAAGCATGCCGTTAAGTTCAGCCAAAGACTGTAAATAATCTAAATGATCTCTGCTTGATCTAAATCAAGCAGGGAAGTGTTCATTTCGTGTAATACAAGGTTGAGAAACCACTAGATTGACTTTTTGGGTTCATCAAGGCATACTTCACTGCAACTAAACCAGCATGACCAGCCGAAAATAAAAAGCATGTTTCATTCAACTTATGTAGGATACCTTACTTTCCTCTGGCTTTGACTATTACTCAATAATCAATGGATCATTACTATTGTTAGACTTAAATTAAGTTTATTAAAAACTCTTAGACATAAAGTAGGAGATGTCCAACTTCATTCTTCAAGGTGCTCTTTATGCTTTTAGATTTAAAACACAAATCTAATGGCTGAATTACCCCCTTAGCATGTCATCAAGATCCCGAGAGGCCTGCTAATTAACTATTCATTTGAGTCAAGTATATTGAGCAGCTGAAACCAGCCCTTGCATACTAACAATAGATGCTACTTTTTTAAGCCAATTAGGTTCTTAATTAGAAATCTGATAACTTGATGCTTAAACCTTAATAACCTACATGCTAAATGTTTATTGTGTGTCACACAATATAATTTTTAACAGTTTTTAAACAATTTAGTGTGAGAGAGACTTACCTGTAGAATTTTACACCGATCCAACTCACATTCATCTTCGCAGGGATGATACATGCCCAGGGTCACACAGTTCAGCAGGATCACCAACATGGACACTCGCTCGAACCATGTGGAAGGTAGGAATTAAGGCAGCTAACACAGCAGAATGGCAACAGCAACCAGCAGTGACAACAAGCAGCAAACAAAGGATGCATTTCCTCCTGTGACCTCATTATCCTTGCATCACCTGACAAACAAATGCTTATCTCTTTAAATACAGTTTACAATCAAAAACTGTTTTGAAGAGCAAAAGGAGCCCCCACCCTCCCAGATGGAGTCAAAAGATGTAGGAAAACCCACCTGTGGCTGACATTGGTCCCGTTCCGCACCGTCAGCACAGCATTTGTTAGGAAGGCGTGCTGGTAAATGTTCAAATTATTGTTGTGGGAACTGAGTAAGCAGTTTAAAACTGTGTGAGGTACAACAAAAGACAACATACAGCAGGTACAGTCTAAGAAACTGGGACAGAGTGAATGGGAGAATTAAGTTAGATGGGGATGATTTGTGGGGTCAATGTGGATGGGCACATTATAATTAGAGCAACACCAACAAATAATGTGACTGTCCAAAAGTGTGGCTAATGCCACACACACATAGCCACATGTCGTGAGCTGCATGCCTTAACCCAAACATTTATCCAATATATTATAGATTGCTGCTGAAGCTGCAGTCAGCACCCAGCCTGGATAACAAAGTTAGATAGGGAATACAGTTTGTCATCCTTGCATGTGTGTTTAACTGTGTGATGTGTGACCAAAAAAAAAGCATTCTTCTCAGGAAGGTAAATGTTAGCACACTGGCTATGAGGAAAAACGATCTGCCAGTCCTTTACAGCATTAGCTACCACATGATCATTTGTCTTTCTAACCCACACGATAGCTGGGTCAGCTGGCCTTTCTTTGAATCCCCATTTTGGTGAAAGTGTAAATAAACCTCCAGGCTCTACTGTACTGAGTTTATAAGGTAGACAGAGTAAAGGAATTAATTAATGGGGTTTACTTTTATATAGTCATATAATAACTGAAAAAGATATTCCAAGAGAAATGGAGAGAACATGACTGTCTTGGATAAACGCACTATTGTGTTGGCAACATAATGGTAATACATTGTTACATAACGTTTAAAAAGCCTATAACATTTTTCAAAGTATCTAAACTGATTTGATATTCTCTACATCAATTCTTAAATATCTATATGTATCAAACATTAAATTAAATTTTTTTTTTTAACAGGTTTGGGCAACTCTTCCCATTTAGTTATAAGCATGTTTGACATTTCAATGTATGATAGGTTCATTATACAACTAATTGCTCTTGGGAATGGTATGTACATTAATGGTTGCTAGTCTTAATCATGTCATATGATGCAGACATGTTCTGTACATCTCTTGCCCCAACTTGTGCAGATAAGTACCTATCCCACTACAACCAGCAAACCCAGCAAAGAATATGTTTTTATAATGATGATATAAGGATGAGCCAGTTTCTACCTGTTACTTAGAGGTAACTTGACAAAGTTTAAGGGAAATGAATGAAGCACAACTTATGGGTTTTGCTTTGTTCTTTTGTTCTTCCCAGAGATTGAAAGGAAGGCCTTATAGAGAAAGAAATTGATGGATTTAGAATTGAAATGTAAAAACAGCAAAACTGTTCATCAACTGACAAGTAACTAACTACTCTACTTACTATTCCACACACGTCAACTAGAATTAGTTATCAATGGAATACATTTATGGACTGAACACACTACGTGAGCAACAGTCATGATGAGATCAATATAACCTTTTTTTTCCTTTAAACCTAAAGCTATTCTTAGGTGACTCCATGAAAATACAGAAAATTTTTCATTCCCCCTTGCATTTTAACATGTTTTACCACATCACTACTTGGGATCATAATATATTTTTTAAACTTTTAAACCATTTCATTTAACGATCATAGCTAGAACATCAACCATTCATTATTACTGGTTGCTGATAGTCAAACAAAAAAAAAAAAAAACAGGAAAACATAACACAAAACTTGAGTAAACCTAAAAACCAGGGATGGGATATGTGGAGTCACCAGCTCATCTCTACGTCATGTATTGATTTTGTCTATCCAGTCAACCAGGTGAGTCCAATTTGCACTATTTAAATCAGTGCAGTTTGGATTCACCTAGCTCAGTGGCTGGGGAGAACAAATATAACATAGAGATAACCTGTTGACACCACATGTCCCACCTCTGCTAAAAACTGATGCCCATAGATATGTTAAAGCAAAACAACCTTAAAAAATATCCAAGACATCAGCCCCATGAAAACTGAGTTTGGACACCCCTCAATTAGACTAACATGCCAAGCACATACAGAACTAGTTTAAGTACTTCAGTTTAACTAAAACTGAGTCTGCTTCATGCAATCAGATCTTGTTACAGCAATACAAGCTACATATAAGCTACTTAGGGATAAGTTACCATTCTGTTCAAACTGTAAACTGAGTTTATTGGTAAAAAAAAAAAAAAAAGATCTAATACCAGAAAAGCACCAACAAATATAAGATGATGTAGCAAAAAAATAAATATGAACAACCTTACTAATTTAATCAACATCTTCCTCTCTTGTCCTCATTTTCCTACTCTTCCTTTTAAACTGCTGGTCTATAATTAAACAAAAGGATGGGGTGTTTCCAAGTGTGTTCTGTCTCACTGTTAACACACACAAGCACACCTTTACGGTGTCAGCATGCCGACAAGCGGTAGCACCCCGAGGGATGGATTCAATTAGAGGGAAGATACACAGGGATATGCCCTGTCAAAATCAAAAAGCAAGATGGCTACACGCTCTGCTCCACAGACACACACTTTGGGAAGCAACAAAATCAAACTAATCAGTACTTCAAAACACACCCTGTGTTCTGCTCTCTGGGGTTCTCCTCAACTCTGCTCTCTCTCATAGTTTTGCTTAGTCATGGTCATGCTTATGCAAATAAAGCACATACACAGAATTAAAACACTTTTTGTTTGATCCAGTGGAAACCAATGGTGTATGTATATGCTGGCCATCTGATTTTGGTTTTGAAACTGGAAATAAATTGTTTCCTTATTTCCATATAAAATTTTCAAAAAATATACAGTATATACTGTATAAAAAAATAAAAGAAGGATGTTTTTGTTTTGAAACCCCTAAATCGGGAGTCACAAATGTTTACCTGTTATCTGTTTTTCTTTAATTCCAAAAAAATATATATATATATAAATCTAAATGTTCTGTCCCGATTCATCTCCTCTCCATGGTACAATACTAAAACATATCCATCAGTCACATCCCTGGACACGGCCAATAAATCTCTCTCATTATTTTTGTTACTGTACATAAGACATTTTACCCGCCTTAAAATCAAAAGTCATAAATGTCAAGGACTCCCACACACCAGCTCATTTGTAAACAGTGACTTTCCTAACAGGAAGTAACGCATGAGCCCCAAGCTTTTTATTTTAATACAATCTATGTGTGTATTGACCATGAAATTCACCAGAATGGGAATCATAACTATAAATATAATAGTTCTGACAAAAATTTAGATCTTAATGTTCACAAATCATGACAGAAAGAATACTTTAGTACAAAGATTGATGTTGAAGAAGGAATTGTAGGGGAATAGCCAAGGACCAGCCAAGGGCAGATCAAGGAAAGTGGGGGAACCTTTGAATACTCGCATCAATCTGAAAAAGCCTCCTGTTGAAAAGGTTTCCAAAAGGGAGGGATATTCAGTACAATGCTTCAAGCTGTTAGGATAGATCACAGAGTGGCACATGCCTCCCTGTCAAGCTTTTAGCCAATCACAGCAGCCGCAGTAACAGCTGCGACGTATTGCATTTTAATAATCATAACTAGCAGAGTTAAATGATAAATCATACCAAAGCCGGTCAGGAGGAACGTGAGAACATCTTTCCCAACCCCAAAGATAAAACTTGTGTTCTTTTGCTCTTTTTTTCAAAAATAAATATAGGGTATTCCAACTAAAACTGGCAAAGCCATTTTTCTTTTGCTTCAGCCTTCTGCAGCTTGTTGGCGTGTTGACGTCACTGCATTTCACCATTCCAAAAAAATTCTGTATTGCGGCTGATGCGTTTACTGGCCCCTCGAGACATGTAATTTCACAAGTTTGTGTATTAACAAATGTCTCGACAATTCATCTTGCTTGCAAGGTGACCTGATTTTGTGTCTTTCAACATTTAACATAAAACAATGAGGACAAAATCCCCTTTTGGCCTCTGTAAAGGATGTGCAACTGTACCTACAAACCATTTTGGGCTGTAACTATGATAATAAAAAAACATTTAAAGAATTGAAACTCATTAAACCATAAACCACTCATTCCCCACAGTTTGGGTTCTTTATGACTGTTAAGGATACAACATGCCACTCTTCCAACTGTTCTTGAAGATGTTGTTGATTTGATGGTATAAAATTGGTTCTGACTGAATAAAGAGTGCATGGGCTAATTTAGGAAAATTTAAAGTTGCATGACCAAGAGTTGCAACAGCACAAGGTGTGTGTGTAGGGGCTGTGACGCGTTGGCTCATCCACACATATGAAACATGCACTTAGTTCCATATACTTAGCTCCATACACTTAAGTGTTGCATGTTGATTATTTATGATAAAAAGATAGCTGGGTGAATTGAAAGCGTCTCTAATGCCCCAAACAATGAAAGTTATGAGTTTCAAGCTGTTTGATTAAACAGATTTTCAAAGAACATTGCTTAACTGTAATAAAGCGTTGCCTCAAAAGAATGTCGGTCACTCTTGATCAATATTTACATCACAATTTCCTGTAGTAATATCATGATGAAATACAGTGTGTGAAATGTGCTGGTGTGAAATGCAACTTTTCTGTATGTTTAGAATAATCTTCCTGTTGAAAATGGTACCTTTACCTGAGTTGCAAGCATTTTGCAGCCTCTAAAAGTAAACAAGGATGATGATATATTTAGTTCCATGCATCTAATCTCTAAACCAGTCTCTAAAACAAGGATCTCTGTTGTCATCAGTATTTATTTGTTGTGCAGATTTTAGACGCATCCCTGC